GCTTCGAATTGAGAAGTTCGGCGGCCAAAATTTTAGGTATTAGAGGATGCAAATAGAAGACTATTTGTACCAGAATGATCTCTTCCTACCCCTCCAAGGAGAGGTGGGGAAACCTGAAAAGATGGACGATAATAAGTGGAAGGTGCTCGATCGTAAAGCACTTGCCACCATCAGGCTCAACCTTCACCAGCATGTGACTTACAACGTCTCGCATGCGACCACCACCAAGGAGTTGATGGAGGCCTTGGAAGCGCTGTATGAGAAGCCGTCTGCTTCAAATAAGGTGTACCTAATGAAGAAGCTATTCAATCTCAAGATGCAGCAAGGAGCTCGCGTGGCGGACTTCTTGAACGAATTTCATGCTGTGGTGCAACAGCTTGCTGCAGTAGATCTAAAGTTCGACAACGAGATCCAAGCTCTTCTGTTACTTTCTTGTCTACCAGATTCATGGGAGAATATGGTAATGGCGGTGAGTAACGCTAATGGCAATGACAAGATGAAGCTCGACACAGTGGTTGGGGCAATTCTGGATGAAGAATCTCGCCGCAAAGTCTCAGAACCTGAGGCCTCTAGCAGTGGGAGTGCTCTGCATGTCGAGGCACGAGGGCGTGCACAGAAGAAGGGTAGGGGACGACGAGGCCAATCAAAATCCAGAGGGAAGTCTAAAGGGCCTAACCCGAATGGTTACGGTGAAGGGAAGTGCTTCAGATGCGGAAAGAAGGGCCACTTTGCACGGGACTGCAGAGTTACTGTTCAAGCATCAGCAGGGGATGATCGGGCTGACGGTGCAGCCAATCTCATGCACGAGACGGATTCGGATGCACTTCTCCTATCCCTAGAAGACAAAAGTGATGCGTGGGTCATCGACTCTGGCGCATCTTTCCATGCAACCTCACAACAAAAGCTGTTTTCATCGTTCGTGAAGAAGGACTTAGGGCAGTCTATCTTGGCGACGATCAACCTTGTAAGATTTCCGGGAAGGGAAATTGTACCCTCAATATGGAGGGCGGGACCACCTTGACGCTGAATGATGTTCGGCATGTACCAGATCTCAGGCGAAATCTTATATCAGTCGGGCAACTGACTGACTCCGGTTACAAAGTATCCTTCGAGCAAAGAAGCTGGAAGGTGTCCAAGGGTGCCCTGGTGGTGGTACACGGTAAACGCGAGGGGTCTCTCTACATCGCCAACGGGAAGATCGACCACTTGCTTGTCGCAGGACAAGCATCATCATCATCATTTGTCGACTGCATGACTTGGCATCGACGACTTGGCCACATGAGCGAGAAGGGGATGCAGATTATGGCCGCGGGAGAGAGGCTTCCGGGTCTGAACAAGATCGATCTGACTTTCTGTGAGGACTGCATCCTAGGCAAACAAAAGAAAGTGAGCTTCAACAAGACCGGACCGGCTCCAAAACTGCAGAAATTGGAGTTGGTGCATACCGACGTGTGGGGACCTGTGCAAGTCCCATCTGTTGGTAACTCTCTTTACTTTGTCACTTTTATTGATGATGCTACGAGAAAACTATGGGTGTTCTTCTTGAAGCACAAGTTAGATGTTTTCATCATCTTCAAGAAGTGGCTTACCTGTGTGGAGAATGAAACAGGCAATAAGCTGAAGTACCTAAAATCTGATAATGGAGGTCAGTATTGCAGCCAGAAGTTCGAGAACTTCTGCTCATCCCACGGGATTAGAAGACTGAAGACCGTCCCAGGCACACCTCAGCACAATGGAGTGGCGGAGCGCATGAACCGTACTATATTGGAGCGCACCAGAAGCATGAGGATCCACTCCGGATTGCCCAAGAGTTTTTGGGCCGAAGCTGTCAATACTGCTGCATACTTGATCAACCGCAGGCCATCCGCGGCTCTCAATTATGGGATACCCGAAGAGGCTTGGACCGGAAAGAAGCTGAAGCTAGAGCACTTACGAGTATTTGGTTGTGACGCCTATGTCATGACCAATCCTGCAGATCGATCAAAGCTTGATCCAAAGTCAAAGAAGCTCTCTTTCATCGGCTATGGAGGAGATGAGTATGGGTACCGTTTCTGGGATCACGATGCGCGCAAGGTGGTGCGCAGTCGTGACGTCGTATTCCATGAGAATGCGGTGTACAAGACCAAAGAGGTGAGTGGGAGTCAGCTATCTCCCCCTCTTTTCCCAGATATTGCTGACAGTGAGGACAACGATGAGATACCAATCAGCATAGAAGACGGAGACCAAGAGAACATGCAGGATGCACAGCAGCAGGATCCAGCAGAACTACCGATCGCAATTCGCAAAGCTCCAAGAAATCCAAGGGTGCCAGAAAGGTACCTTTCCACCATGAATTACCTTCTCCTGACTGACAATGGTGAGCCAGAGAGCTATGAGGAGGTACAGCAGACCGGCAAAGCTCGCGGCGAGTGAGAGTCTGCCATGGAGGAAGAAATGAAGTCCTTGATGAAGAATGGGACTTGGGAGCTCGTGAAGCTTCCACGAGGGCGAAAGGCTCTTCACAATCGGTGGATTTATCGGGTCAAGGATGAAGCCGATGGACGGAGACGCTACAAGGCGAGACTTGTAGTGAAGGGCTATGAACAGAAAGCAGGGATTGACTATTCTGACGTTTTTGCTCCCGTCGTCAAGTTGACCATGATCCGAACTGTGCTGAGCATTGTAGCAGTTCGAGATCTCCACCTAGAACAGATGGATGTGAAGACGGTATTCCTTCATGAAGATTTGGAGGAGGAGATCTATATACATCAACCAGTGGGCTTCGAGGAACGAGGCAGGGAGGGCCTCATGTGTCGCCTGCGCAAGAGTTTGTATGGCCTGAAACAAGCTCCGCGACAGTGGTACATGAAGTTCGAAAACTTTATGAAGGAGAACGGTTTTCTCAAATGCGATACAGACCGCTGCTGCTTTATCAAGAGATATGGCGAATCCTATGTAATACTCTTGATTTATGTTGATGACATGTTGATTGCAGGGCCCGACTTGGCCCGCATTGAAGAACTCAAGGGGCGTCTCTCCGAGTGCTTCGAGATGAAGGATCTGGGTCCAGCAAATCAGATTCTTGGGATGAGGATCATCAGAGATAGATCAGCACGAAGGCTGAGGTTATCTCAGAAGGCCTACATTGAGAAGATTCTTGAAAAGTTTAGCATGGAGAAAGCTAAACCGGTGGGCTCGCCGTTTGCAAGTCATTTCAAGCTATCGAAGACCCAAGCGCCAGAGACTGCTGAAGAGCATGAGTTCATGGCCAACATACCATATGCATCTGCCGTCGGGAATTTAATGTATGCGATGATGTGTACGAGGCCAGATATTGCACAAGGAGTGGGAGTTGTGAGCCGCTTCATGAGCAATCCAGGGAAGCAACACTGGGGTGCGGTCAAGTGGCTTCTACGCTACTTGAGAAGCTCGTCCGACCATTGTCTTGAGTATGGCGGGACAGATTTGCAGCTAGAGGGCTTTTGTGATGCAGACTACGCAGGGGATATAGACTCAAGAAGGAGCACGAGCGGCTACATCTTCATCTTGGGTGGTGGAGCGATAAGTTGGAGATCCAAGTTACAGGATACTGTGGCTTTGTCGACAACCGAAGCCGAGTACGTGTCTGCAGCAGAGGCAGCAAAGGAGTTGCTATGGTTGAAGGCTTTTCTTCTCGAGCTTGGAGTAAGCTTTGAGAAATACTTCATCCACTGCGACAGTCAGAGTGCCATTCACTTGTCAGAGAACGACGCATTCCATGCTCGGACCAAGCATGTTGACGTGAAGCACCATGCCATACGGAGATGGCAAAGCAAGAACGAGTTCAAGCTTGTGAAGATTGATTCGAGGTACAATCTAGCCGATATGCTGACCAGGCCAGTTCCGCTCGAGAAGGTGAGGCTGTGTGCAGCCTCATATGGCCTCCGTTGAGAATGTTGAAGGCCGTGCAAGACGCCAAGATACATGACATCCGGATGATGCAACCAAGATGGGTATGAAGATATGATTGATTCTCAATCAAATCTTCAAGTGGGAGATTGTCAGCCGAAAGCAGCCCATACTTTTTGACATTGAAGCCGCCCAAGCCACTGAAATTGACAAAGATGAATTAGGTGGCCGTTTTATTTAAGAAATGGAAAAAGTTGGCGGGTCCCACAATTATTTATTATTAGTGGCGGGTCCCACTACTAATATTTTATTTGTGCATAGTGTTTCCCAAACACTATAAATATGGCCCTAAACTCTTAAGGAAAACTCATCCCAGAAACAACTCCTCTTATAAAAGAGTAAGAGAAAACAAAGAGAGAGTTTATGAGAGTTCTTGGAGTGTATCTGATCAAGAGAGGGTGTTCTCTTGGATCAATTCTTTTGGGATATAAAAGAATTTGGCGTCGTCGTTGCACCGTGGAGTAGCTCCGAAGGAGTGAACCACGTATATCTGTGAGTACTCTGTGTTGAATTTTGTGCCTTTATTTTGTGATTAAGTCTCCGTTCGAGGCTTTATTATTGGGGTGTATCCTAACATTCAGATGGTGCGAGCAGGATTTAAAGCCCCTGAATTAATTCTTCAGCAGGCTTCAACGTGGTCCCACAATGATACCATTAACACTCAAAGATATGCATCATCCAATTAATAGAGCACTTGCTGCCGTTACCGGAGGGGCTTGTTCAGGTTTAGCCCTTAATTTTTGACCTGTGTTAAATCAAATTTTATTGCAGCGCTGCTTTATGTGTCACATATTGTTTAAAGTTGATTGCTATCCAGTTCAAATGCCAACACTCTCTTATTATGGGTAGCAAGCATCCCGTATGTTCTTTGATGAGCGCAAAATCACACGCTTTACTTGATGACTGGCCATCTGGGTTTGAGAGCTCCGTTTCAGATACCTGCATTATTGAAAGATACATATGCAGCGCTTACACAGGGATCAACGTAGTCAAGATCCAAAGTCTGCTGGACCGAAGAAAATATACAAACTAATTACTGCAGACAACAGACACACACACACACACACCCCCACCCCCACAAAAAAACAAAAAAAAAAGAAAAGAAAAAAGAAGAAGGTATATACTCCCCTCAAGGAGAAAAGAAGACAGGTAAGGCGCCGTGCAGCGTTCAGAACTTACAGTAAGCATCATAATGTGTTGGAAGCGGACCATTCAAATCTTGTGATGTAGAATATATTGATACCTTTGCATTGGCTAAGATTTCTTTCATAAAATTCATTTGCATGGTAGTCCTGTAATCCGACCACAGGACTGAAGTACGTATTTCTTGTGGAGCAACCAAAATTAAGGACTCAAGCGCTGAGGCCTTCTCTAAGAAGAATCTCACTAGCTCCATCTCATTCTTGTAACTATTGAAGTTATTCATCTTCACAATCTTGAGGCTCCTAAAATCACAGATGATAGGAGCCTCATCTGAAGGGGCTTTCAAGAAAATTTTCAGCGCAGGGTCTTTCGTACCAGCTGAAAGCTGCAATTTAGACGAAAATCTTAAGGGAGGAGTATTTTATATCATCCCCTTTGCAATAAACGAGATGAGAATTGTAAACCTACTTCTATGAAGACCTTCTCCAATTTAGGACAATGACATTTCTTAAAGAAGCTAATGATGTCTGAAAGACTGGTTTCTGTCATTATGCCCATTAGAAGCTGCAATTCTTGTAGATTCTCGAGCGGGATCGGTGTTGATTGTTTCGATATAGCAACTTGCTAAAAAAAAGATGAAACAGAAACAACACATAGAATTCAAGTGAAAAATAACCATCTATGTTATAAGGAAACATCAGATGATTACCTCAAGAGCTCTGCTACAGAGAGTTAGAACCTTGACGTGAGCCAGGTCCTCGATGATTCGAACCCAATTTGCTTGAAAACTTTCAGGCTCCCGACCCAATGAGCTCATCATAGCATCTGAGAGCAAAGAAATTTCTCCGAAGACATAGCTCTTCAGAAACACACCATTGAAGTGGAACGAACGGAGATTTGGTGCAAATATTTCAATTTCATCGAGTTTCCAGCAGTTAACAACTACCAAACTCTTGAGCCTCAGATTTGAACCAGAGACTTTGATCGACCTTAGCTCGAAGCACTGCCTAAGATCCAATCTCTCCAGGAATGGGCAGTTGGAAATGACATCTAAGACCATGTCATCAGTGGCATCTACATATTTCAGGCTTACTGTTTCCAGAAACTTGAGCCTTCTGAAGCCTACAGGTTGATCAAATTTGCAGTACTTCAAATTGAGAACAGTTAGCGAGTCACCTTGCAGCAAACCGTTTGGTATCTGAAAAGTTCCTTCTTGTTTAAATCCTTGACAGAAGTCCAGATAGAGTTCTTCAACTTCGTTACTGATTGCATATTCAATCCAACTTACCGTGTTGGACTGATACCGAGTGCCTGGATAAAAGAAAATGTGAAAAATCTCAACCTTCTTCTTACCTCTTTGTTTCAGAACTTGATCAACCGTGCGTGAGAATTCCTCAGGAGTTAGTTCCCCCCTGAATTCTTCATCGAAGATGAGGGATGTTTCATAAGGCCGGCGATATCTCCATAGATCTCTCCATCGCCAAGAGAGAGCACTAGTCCTTGCAGCAAACTTACGAGGGAGAAGGCAAAGAATTTGTAGCCTGATGATGTCCGGTAAATCGCTGATCCTATCAATATTTCTTGCCATTTCTCTCGTTCCTTCCGATCTAGAGGAGCCAAGTTATATATAACCAACAACCAAAAGCTAGGTAGCAGTACGACCTCTTTACATATGTAAAATGGTTCCTAATTAATATATTTGTTTTAAGGAAAAAGTTGACGCTGCGATAAAATTCAGTCCGTGGTCTGGATTGTGGCGAAGGCAATGGGAATATTTAATGTAGGATATATCTAGTGAGGAGCAAATCAGTAGGTCATGAATCTAGTTTGTGGAGAATTGATCATGGGACAGTCTACTAAGCTACCGATAACTTCAAGGGGTGAAGACAAATTTCTGCGATTATATTTAGGGGACATGGGGGGCCGTAAGTACATGGATTAAGTGTCTTTAGCCATGCGGAGAATTGCAATTTATATATGATAATATGATAGTAACTTTGTTAACCCACTAGATGCTCCACGATATTTTACCAAAAGAAGCCTTTCCTTTTTATTTTTGATGCAGTGGTGGGCTACTTGTTGCTCACAGGAAACAAAGTCGCATTCATTGAAGATGATTTCTAGACTGTAGTTTTGTGTACAACCTAATTTAATACCATTTTCATCACCAAAGAAGATTTTTAAAAAAGGTTTGATAGCTTAAACGTGTAGTGATACCTATGGACAAAGAATTTGTTCACTTTGTGCGCACCAATGGGCACACTCTAAAGCTTTTGCTCAAGAATATCTTAACTGTAGACTAATTTTTAATCTATGACTTGATTAAAATAAATAAATATAAAAAATTAAGATGCATATCCATAATTTTCTAATCCTAACGAAGAGAAGAGAGATAAAGTATCCTCCTCGTCTTTTTTAACGTCCGAGCATCTGCAGCAGTTGGTTTCTATCTATTAAGTAATGTTTTTTTTAAAGTACTATTAAGTAATGTTGAAAACTATTGAGTCATAAAACTCTTGTTGTAGAGATTTACCTGCGTCGCAATCTTCTGTACGATTGCCAGGCACCTTTTTTTATTCTTCAGACAAAAATTCTACTTGATTGTGTTGGATCTGTGATGTAAGAAGTGAACAGGATTGCTTACCATTTTCACCTAATTACAGAATATATAGCAGAATAAAACAGACAATAAGTAAAACAACAAGCAATGCAATAATCACAAAAATAAACAGAATCAATCATAGACAGAACACATAAGATTTTATAATGGTTCAGTTAAAAAAATATTACATCCACTTTTCCTTCTCACGAAGGGTTTCATCACTATGTGAAAGTTCTCCTAAATCACAAACCCGATCTAGTAGACTTACAAGGCCGAAGCTCTACTTTCTCCCAAACTAATCGTCTAATCTAAACTCTTCATGTATGAGTAACTCTAACCTTATCTAGTGAACAATTCCTCAATTAATCTCTGCTTGATTGTGTCGTAAACCCTCAATTCATTCCGTCTTGAGTACATCTTAAAATACGTTTAAACGAAAAGATTAAATAACAAATAAGCGCAACTAGAAAGTTCTTACAACCCTTTTTGATTAAGATTGCTCTCCAAAAGATTAAAGCATGGATCTAGAAAAATAACGATGATGATGAAGTCTAAGGGCAACTCTCCTCGCCGTGAAATGATCAGATGTTACTGTGGAGGCTCCGGGGATCGAAAAGCTTTTTAAGATCTCAAGAATCAAAACCCTCTCTCTCTCAGATGTTACTGTGGCGGCTCCGGGGATCGAAAAGCTTTTTAAGATCTCAAGAATCAAAACCCTCTCTCTCTCTCTCTCTCTCTCTCTCTCTCTCTCTCTCTCTTTCTCTCTCTCTCTCTCTTTCTTTCACAACTACGTCACGAAAGAGATGTATGAAATGCAGTAAAGATTGGAGATAATATAAATGACGAACGACTGCGATTGAACCATCAAAATTTGCATTAGCTTACTTTACCATCAATGGTGCCTCACGATTCGATGTTGTTGAGAGACCATCGATGGTTGATGTGCATCATCGATGATATTCATATCTATGAACTTTTGCACCATTGATGGAGTTGAAGAAAGGGCGAAGAAGAACAGGAAATTTGAAGTGCACAGGATTGGCTACGGGTCGGTTGACCAACGACATAGGCCCGGTCGACCGACAGACTGTGGAAATACAGGGTCAGAAACCCTGTCTCTGGTCGGTCGACCAAACGCTTATGGTCGGTCGACCGAAAAGGTGCACAATTACAAGGCTGATTTTCAACTTTCTGGCCGGTCGACCGCACGCTTGTGCCCGGTCGACCGCGATACGGTTATGGGCCCAATTCGGTTTTCCCAGTTGGTTTTGATTTGTGTTTTAATATAAATTAAAACACAATTTTAGGGTTTCTTAATTAGAGAAAAGAGAGACTTTTGAGCACTTTAAAATGGAGATATTGTAAGGGAGTTTAGAGCTTTGGTTAGGGTTATATTTGAGTAATTTTGTGAGTTGTAACCCATTATATTTCTCCTCCATATAGTGAAATCTCCTCATCCTCTCTCCGTGGACGTAGGCAATTGTCAAACCATGTAAATCTCTGTGTTTTGGTTTGATTTGTGTCGTATTTGGTGGATTGCACTTGTGATTTGATTTGGTTCCCTTTCTCGTGTCTTATCGACTTGTTTGGTGTGTGAGCACGCTTCCGCAAGGCGCGCAAAACGATGGAGCTTTGAACCATTGATGGTCGTCATCGACCATCAATGGTCAAAGGCCATCATCAATGGTTGTGATGCTGAAAATTAGTTTTTGAGCTAATTGTCGCGTCGTTTCGCTTCATCCACGTACTATACCTGTATTTACCTAAAACTACCAGCATGAAATAGAAGTTTTAAGTTGAAATAGAAAATTTTTTATTGTAATCCTATGCCAATTTAAGTTGAAATAGAAAATTTTAAAAAATTCAAATAAAACCAACGTGTAATCCTATGGCAGTTTAAGTTGAAATAGAAAATTAAAAAAAATTCAAATAAAAGGATTATTATAATTCTGTCAATTACATTAAAATATATAAAATTTAAAAATTTTATTTTACAATCACCAAGGGATTTGGACTTCATCGTGCCTAAAGTTTCTACGATAAGAGTCCTAAGCAAAACAAGATTAATCCTTTGGCCGACTCCTACAGTCATCTCTCAGCCTTAGGAGAAGGAAAGCCCTAGACAACTCTCAAGAGTTCCAGGCATTCGACTTCTCAGTCGAATATCAAGACCTTGGCTCATTATCAAGGTAAGCCCAATGCACAAGATTTGGTCAAATCCTCTGGTACAACCCAACCATCATGGCTAGATTACAAGATCTTGGTACCTTATCAGGGATAAACCCAAAGCACAATTGCAGAGGCCTCGGCCCCACCGACTCATCAAGCCGACACTCTGGTGTCGACACAAGAGGCGATACTAGCCGGTACGAGAGATCCTGAACTCCCAGACAAGTCGACATCTCCATATTAACTCAAGAGATGATTATTAGCTGAGATAAGGCGATATTTCAACCAGTCGGACATACCGACACTCCTAAATCGACGCGAAAGACGGTACCGGTCGACCCTATAATCGAGAACGACCCTATTTAGGGCATTCGAGCACTCACTGGACATTTCTCAGAAACGACTTAAAAGGGATATTCCCTACTGTCGACTAAATTGAGGACTCGACCCCGGCCTCATGCCTCTCCCCCAGAGCATATGTTGACATCTTAGTCCACTTTGGATAAGCCTTATCCAGATTTTGGCCTGACAGATCTCCATGACTTGTCAATTCAATCACTTTCCAGAAAATACGGAGGCACTCTCTCCCATAATGAAATGACTCCCCCTCCAGACGCCAGTCGACATCTGTAAAGCGAGGGACGACTCAGTATGCCCACATGACTTCTGCCACACTCACAAGTCACTTCTTGGATATCGCGGAGACACCATCTCCTATGCTTGAAATGCACTTTACCCCTCTGATCGCAGCCGATATCTGTAAAACGGCGGGGATGACTCACCTTCCAGCTCATAACTTTGTCACCGCCATTTCTGCATGGCCGGAAAAACCAAATCTGTCATGGACATCCACTCTATATATGGAGGTTGTTCACCATTAGAAAGAGCGTAAGCAAAAGAAAACTCTCGAGCAAAATTTAAATCTTCCTCATGACCTAGACCTGAGAGATTGATCATTCCAATGCACATAGCATAAGCACCACACAGTTCTAAAACTCGCTCAAATGCTTAAGTCATCATAACTTGACCGTCGGAGGAATTCCACGCTGGGAATCAGTCCCCGTCCTCTTGCGGGTATCTTCTTGTCGTAGTCAGTCTAACATTCAAACCCTCGGTTCAAGAATTGAGGCATTAAATCTGAAAGGGGACCGAGCCTCAATCATCCTTCATCACCCCGCAAGCTCCTCTCTGATGAATTAATTAGTGTTGATATTGAGCTATATATAGAGCAAAAAACTTATGTTCAACTTAAGTGGACATCACCAAAGTTCTATCCATTGATGAAACAGTCTCTTCATATCGATGCACGCGACCTAGGTATCATCAATATGATAGAAACTTGAGTGATGAATCCCACTAAGTTAACAATAAGTTTTCTATATATATATATATATATATATATATATTATATATATATATATATATTATGATATGTTGTTGTGTATGTGTGATGTGTGTCCGTCGCGGGGGTGGGGGATGTAAGACTTCTCAAAATCACCCCTTACCAATATACTTACAGAAATAACTTCAGAAGGCTTCTCCAAAATGTATTGAATTGGGAAGAGCGGAAGAGAGACTTATATATATAAGTCACACCTGTCACAGCTCCGGGATCATGAATGACTATATACCCAACTGCCCACCAGGACTTCTCTTCAAACCTCTCTCCACCATCTCCCTTCTCACCTCTCTGCCTCTCTCAAACTTCCCGCCTTCGAGTATGCGCTTCGGCCAGCAATACATAATTCCCCGCATTCTCGGGCTCTAACTCAAACAGCACTCTCCCTGCAATCTCCGCGAGCCTCACTTCTCCGTGACTCCTACAAGCCCCAAGAAGAGCCCCCCAAGCCTTTGCAGTTGCCTTCACTGGCATCCTGTCTAGAACCTCATATGCCTCCTTCAACCTCCCTGCTCTGCTCAAAACATCAACCAAACAAGAGTAGTGATCGCTGCTCGCTTCAACACCATATTTATCAGTCATAATGTCGAAATATTTCAAAGCATCATCGGCGAATCCTGAATGGCTGCACGCCTTCAATATGCCAAGAAACATGATACCGTCAGGCTGCACTTTTTCCGTTTCCATCCATCTAAAAACAGACATCGCAATATCAGCATTGCCGTGAAACGCATATGCAGAAACCAGGGAGCTCCACACCACCACATCCTTATCTTTCATCAGATCAAAAATTCTGCGAGCATAGACCAAGCAACCACACCGTCCATAAGTTTCAATGAACCCACTTCCTAGTTGCGGGTGTGGATAGATACGGCCTCTGACCGCGAACCCGTGAATCTCTTTGATAAAACTCAATGCACCAAGACGGACACAAATAGGCAAGAGGGCTAGGACGGTGATTAGGTTCGGAGCCAAACCCGACGCCCTCATCCGCCTGTAGAAGTGAAGTGCTCGATATGGCCCGTCATCCTCCGACTCAGAGAGAGCAGCTACTATCGAATTGTAGGACGAAGCGTTGGGCTGTACATCCATCACCTCAAAAATCTCCAGCGCGCTAGGCGTGTCGCTCGATCTGGAGTACAGGGCTATCATGGCGTTCCATACGACGACGTTCCGTTGGGGAGATTCATCGAACGCTTGACGCGCGTGGGCGATGCCGGCACATTTGCCGTGGGAATCGACCAGGGAGGATGCAACGAACGGGTTGGGGAGCAGGCCGGCCTTGGTGGCATGGGCATGGATCGAAGCTACGGCGTTGGGTAGACGGAGGGCCGCGGAGGACTTGAGGGCAAGGGGGAAGGCGAAGGGGTCGAGGGTGAGGTCGGGGGAGGAGAACATCTGGGAGAAGAAGAGGAGAGCCTGCTCGTGATGGCCTCGGTTCACGAGGGAAGTTAGGTGTTTGGTTTGTGAAAGTAACCTTCGGAAGCTGCTTCGGAGGGAGCTCATCATGGTTTCGTGGGGCGCATACGCCGACGAGACCTTTTTTTCCCACGATCTCTCCGCGTGTCCTTTTTCCTCGGAGAAAAGACTCTCATAATATAAAGTCTTTCACTAGGCACACTCCTATATATGTTTTGAACACGCGCTGCCTCGTCTCCGTGCAGTTCTTCAGCTCTTTGCATGTGAGTCCCGCATATATATAAACATCGATCCGTTTAAGAATTTTGGGTTCTATATGAACTCCATTTGGAGTTTTCTCTTCGAAAGCCCTTTCTTTGACTATTATTAGTCATCCAGTGTTCACATCAAATGCAATGCTATCTGTTGTCAAGAATGATTTATATTGTAATTAAAATCTCGGATGATCAAACTAATTTACGATTGGTTGCTTCTTTGAAAGAACAGTATTCCGGTCATTAGTTTCTACGTTTGTTCTAATTTACGTGACTGACATGAAAGAACAGAATTCCGGTCATTAGTTTCTACGTTTGTTCTAACTAGTATGCAATACGTGCGTTGCACGTGATGCATATTAAGAAACAACATGAGTAAAAATCACATATTGAATTCAGATGACGAAGGAAATCAAATCAAATAGGAGTAATCTATCTAAATCCTTCAATTGGTTAATCTGTATTCAGATGACGAAGGAAATCAAATCAAATAGGAGTAATCTATCTAAATCCTTCAATTGGTTAATCTGTTTTTTTTTATTACAAAAAAGATAATGCATATACATAACATTTTGGTTAATCATTCAATTGTCATAATCCTTCAATTGTCTTGATAACCCAGTTACCCTATTCGATTATACGATGACTTCCTTTACTCAACTTCTCTTAATTACCCATTTTCTTAAATCTCATGAGAATTTCTATAAACAACCAAAAATGTAAATCTCCATAAATCCGATTATCTTAATCTACTCAAAAGAATGTGATAGGAACTACAGATAAGGTGACCATGTCTATTATTTCAAGATGGCCACATGATACAGCTGACTGTGATCAACCCTCGCAGCGAGCAAATTCTATGCCACCCAAAAAAAAGTATTATTCTACGGATATCTTTATTTGCTCTTCTAACACCTTGGTCCTTAGTCATTGCTGACAATTTACTAATTCCTAAAACCAAAATTTGGTGATAAAAACATCCCAAACTGTACAGGAGGAAAATCATCATATTTGCAGCTGCAACTAATCTACTAAAAAGAATGTGATAGGAACTATAGATAAGGTGACCATGTCTATTATGTTAACATAATAGAGCATTTCAGGATGACCACATGATACAGCAGACTTTGATCAACCCTCTACAGCGAGCAAATTCTATGCTACCCAGAAAAAGTATAATTCTGTGAATCTCTTAAAGTCGATAATAATAATAAGTATTAGTTCCCTAGTGAACAATACAAACACATGGGAATGATCTCAAAATTGTTAAGGCTCACCAAAAATTTTCAAAAGTTTGAAGTTTCCATGCTACATATAATAGATCTATAACTGGCCTCCAAATATATAACAACTCCATGGAGAATTCCAGATGCCAGGCATCACTATTTATCCCACTTTATCCAACAAAAATGTCCTGCTTCTAATTCCGTTGATGTAATTGTTTAAGTAGTCATGTAAATTTTACGATCATACTACAAATAGGAATTTCTGTAGTTCATCTCATTAAAGAGCCCATTAGAATGTATAAATATGACAAGAAATGCCAATGCACTGAGATTTATTATGCACTAAGCGATCTAATGCTCCCAGCGAAAAGGGTTTGAATCTGAAGTGAACATTATTATGTTTGAAAATAAAAATGACACACTGACTAAATGGAACGCAAGTTCCATGAGTTTACCTTCTTTTTTAGCGCTTGAATTCTCTTATCAATATCTTGGCCAACATCCTCATTTTTAGATGTCTCGAATTCTCTTATCAATTCTCATACGTAGCTCCCAATCTCGACGACAACTTGAACCTGCAAGTCACCGCAACCGTCTCAATGAACAACCTAGGCACCACCGCCATCAGACTCCAGTTCACCGCCCTCTTCCTCTGTAACTGCAGCACCCTCACCAACATCATGGCCACCAGCTTCCCCGATCTCCGCATCGCCCCCAGACAGTGCAAGCAGAACAACTGGCTGGAGCCCTTGTGGTCCGCAACGGCCTGAACCAAACCAAAGACTTCCTCGACCGCACCCAGGACTTCACCCATGGCTCCTCCTTTAAAGTAAAGTCTGACTTCGTCACCTCCTCCATCGCTGAAGGCGACTGGGAGAAAAGATTCACCTTCATCAACAACTCCCTCAGTTCTCAGACCCTCGCCGATCAGCGACCAGTCTCATTTACCATGTCAATGCTACCCATGGGTGGAACAATGGAGGATGTATCAGAAGGAGTGATACCATTCCTTCATCGACAAGGAAACTTATACAGTATACAATACTTTACGGGATGGTTTAGAACCGATGACCAGTCAATCCAGAAGCATTTGGATATGATGAACAGCATATCGGTATTTATGTGTAATTTCATTACAAGCAACCCGAGGCCTGCTTATTACGGATACAAGGACATCGATCTGGGGAGGAACAAGAGCTATAATGACTCTAGGGTTTGGGGGGAGAGGAATTTCAAGGGGAACTTCGAGAGGCTGGCGAGGATTAAGAGGGAAGTTGATGCAGGGAATTATTTCAGGAGTGAGCAGAGTATCCCGCCTTATAATTCATGGGTAGGGGTTTCAGCGTCGTTGCCGTCGCCGACCTCGAACCCTTTGAGCGTGACTCTTCAGTTCTCCACCGATGCTTGTATTTGCACAAACAAAGTCTTTGACTTTGCATCAACATGTACACTGCAGGTATTGGTGATTTAAATAAACAAGTTTGGTTTTGTATTGTTATTGCGTTCTTCAATCGATGATCCTGATGCTGTTCCAAGACAAGTTGAGAGTGCTGTGAGTGATTTAAATAAAACGAGCTTGCTACTTCTGCTGCTGAAGAAACAGATATATTACTTATTTGGTTAGTTACTGTTTCCACATTTCCCAATCTTTGTATATCAACAGGATTCAGTTTTTAGTTTCCCAGATTGCGCTTGATCCAAGTCTTTAGCCTTGTCATCTGATGAAGCAAGAGTAGCCTGAAAATCAGACTGTTTGATTAGATATTCAAAGAAACTATTGGGATATAGATGGAAACTCGCATACATTACTGATCATGAAAGATAAACATAAATAAAATAATAACATGGGTAAAAAAAGCAGTCGGATGATGAATAACCTCTCAATCTTCAACCTCAGATGGCCTCTTCGTGAGTATTCTGCTAGTCTTATCCAACAACCCAATAATAAATAGCCAACAAACATCATGCATAAATATATTAACTACATTACATGAAAATTTCATACAAAATATTGTCTGCTCAGTTTCTTTTACAGAACAAATATTTCTTCCATCAATTTTCTACATGACCTTTCAAATTGTGAGTCCTGATTCAAAAGATCCAATCCTTGCATTTGGCTTTGTTCTCTACTTATTTTCATGCACCTTTTACTTCAGCCAATCCTTCAGACAACTTATGCTACACTATTATGTCAATTGAATAATTATTGAATTCTGCTTTCGCATACCAAAACGAATTCTCAAGGGTTCTGTACTGAATAGTGCCCAGAGACGGATACTAAGATCAAAGAAAATGCTATTACAAATCAACATATCTATCTCTACACTAACTCTAAACTCTGAAGACATGTATATCTTTTCAATTAGTCATACTTTTCTATTTCTGAAGCTTCAGGACATCATAGGATAATTGTAACACCACTCCCTCAATAACTTCTATCATTATTGGGTTTCTCATGTGTCATTAAGGCTTCATCCTATCAGGAAAATATATTAAGAAATCTCAAATCTACAGTAACGGAGCAAAATCTCTTTCCCAGGAGCACCATCAGAAGTCCACAGAAATCCTATAGTACTCAGAAGACAAAGTTGCAACGACATATTTTTTATGGCTATGATTGTGATGTTGGTGATATATCCTTATTAGTTACACATAATTCAATAGCTTTCCTCAATTCTAAAAATTTTACCGGTAAATCCCATCAGCATACTGCGAAGGAGCATGCAGAAACAACACCTAACATGTGGTACGCTAGTGTATAGCATTTAAATGTAGTTAAGAATATCAATCAATATTTAATCTCAATTGGCCTCCAAAATCTACAGTTTAGTTTTTAGAGGTATGAAATTTTAAGAATTATTAAGAGCATCAGTCAAAGATCTCTCAAATTTTACCTTGCCATCTCAGCTCGCCTCTTTGCTTACTCAACAATCTCAGTATTTAAATGTAGTTAAGATTATTATTTTGTCGTGAGCTGACTCTATTGCATCAACACTTGGCTTGTGACCCCCATATTTGTTTACCAGAAAGTTCCTTGCAGCTTGAATTTCTTCTTCAGATGCCTCTCTACCGATTCTAAGTCGTTTATAAGGGTCCTTTACGTCAATCCTTGGAAAGACACCTGAATGGCTGAATCAACAAAGAAAGATTAAATATTATTGTCGTCATATTTATATTGGTGTAAATGGCTTTAAAGAGAGTAAATGATGCAGATACAGATCAAATATTGGTGTTATCATATTTATATTTGCTTCTTCTGATGGATATAATACAAAATAGTCTCTAACTGGTGACCCAAGTTCTTTCGTTTGCATAGGATATTGTCATTGTGGTCTTATTAGGCTAGTCTGGCTAAGAGAAACTGTATCACTGTTTGTAATACGCATATACTTGATAGCACATATCTCGTAAATAATTGTGCATGATGTTCGTAACACCAATATCAAGCATTCATGAGAAACTAAAAGAAAGAGGGTATCTACCGGTTGAATCATCAGCCATGTCACCAAATGCAGCATATACGCTGCTCTTTATCCTGACGGGTCTTCCAACCGAAAATTTGCGAACTGTCACGGCCAAATATTTCCTACAGTAATGTAGTGACCCCAAGGAACTCAAGTAAGAAGCTTGTCGAATGAAATCATCAAAATAAAAATAAGTTAAAAAGGGTTTGGAGAAGCAAATGCCATTATGCATAGTACCTATCCGTATGAGATAAAAAGCTCAACTTCAGCTTAATGAACCCATTAGAAATCAAGGACGAAGACCCAACAGAGAAATTAGAACATCTTGCTCGTGCCGCGTAGCAGGATATCTTTTGGGAATTAAACGTTAAACCAGATATAGACATCTCAGACTACATAATGAGCACAAAATGGAAAAAAAACTCAGGTTTTAGCTTTACTTGAATTTAGGAAGGGCAGGGGGTGGATTTTCATTTTACAAATTACATAACGATGGCATCATCATAGCGGTTAAAGATACCTCCTTTGTGTTTGGAGAGTTCAGCCTCAGTCGCCATTGACTATTCGGAGGTTATATCTTTAAACCCTATATCATTTAGATCAAACGTGAGCTATAAATAACAATGGAAGCCCAAATTTATTTTTCTATATTATTAGAATGCCCAAACATCTATTTTATATATGCAAATCACCAAAAATTATTTACCAAAATCAGTGAATTTCCTCCTTGGCAAGTGCAGACACTCCGCATAATCCCCTCCCTGACCCTCCGTCTTGTGCAGCTGAAGCACCAACGACCTCCTCATCACAATCCCTTCACAACATCAAAATTTCAAAACCAGAAAAAGAAAAATTACAATCGTGCCATCAAGAAGCATCAAAATCGAAAGAAACACTAACCAGACCCCGAAAAAGAAAAATTACAATCGTGCCATCAAGAAGCATCAAAATCGAAAGAAACACTAACCAGACCCCCTCGGGAGAAAATCTCTCCCCACGTGCCATCAAGAAGCATCAAAATCGAAAGAAACACTAACCAGACCCCCTCGGGAGAAAATCTCTCCCCATGATGCTCTCCAGAGAGAGAGAGAGAGAAAGAATGAGAAAGAGAGAGAGAGAGAGAGAGAGAGAGAGAGAGAGAGACTGACGAGGGATTGACGAGACCATCCCCTTTCTTGGAAACGAATTGGATTCAAACGAGGGGGGCGCAGAAGAAGGATTAAATGAGGGCCAGAGTTGAGAAACGGAAGAATCTGAGAAGACGTAGATGGGGGTGGGGGTTGCGCAGTGGGGGACAGCCATTTGTGGTGGCGATGGTGATCAGTCGATCGAATTGTAGAATTTGTGGAGTCGAGGGATGAGCAGATATTAGAACGGTTAATCGAGGGAGATGAAGAGGCAGATGTGCGAAAGAATTTAGAGAGATGTCGCAGCTGCAGTTATTGAGAAACGAAAGAATCGGAGATGAAGAGGCAGGGGGAAGCGGTGGAGCTGAGAACGATAAAAGAGGGAGAGGAAGAGGCAGATGAAATAGGATAGGCCATTGCTTTTTAATTAATTAAACCAGTAATAACAATTAAAAATCTTAATAATTGTAAACATTGATTCAATGGGATAGAAATATAGGATAAATTTATAATTAAGTAAGTTGATAGGGTCAAAATGGTCATGTAAAAGTTTTGACAATGGTTTTCTCTTTTAGAAGTAGTATAGATTTACTTATTGTTTTCTCCAGCTACTAGATTTCACATTTTACAATGTAATTTAATTCTGGTGAGAGATAACTCAAAGTAATTGATTGCATATGAATATTTTACTAGCTATACCATTTTATTTAAAGGTGAATAATTCTTATCAACTGAGGGGTTGCTTGTTTCATTCCCTAAAGATATGGAAAACAAATTTCTAGTAGTAAAATAATTGAAGCAAGCACAACAATAAATTCTTATAGCTCAAAATTGATCTTATAGCACTAATTTGGCAACAGATTAATAATACATTGAAGAATAGTCATAAATAGTGAAATATGTTTCCATACGCTCGATCCAATCATCAAGCCTCCTAACGTCGACAATCCCATCATAAATAGGAATCTCAACTCTGAAATCAATCTTCAGATTCTGGTACCATTTACCCCTTAATAGGGAACAGTCATGACGGCCTCGACCTCCTCATCGGAATCTGAATTCTCACTACCTCCATCGAATTCTACAAGCTTCTTCTTGAGCCCCGCCAAAGATTCACCTTTCTTTTCACCTCCGTGGATGAGATCGACGAGCTTCATGAAAGTCGAACTGATTGTCTCGATCTGTTTTTCCATTGCATCAATACTCGATGAATTGTCGCTTACTATCATCTTCTTCTTCCTTGATTCTGGACTTCTTCCAAAGAAATAAGAATCTCGTCTATTTTCTTGTATTGCGATCGAGTAAGGACCATACATAGGTTACCCCTTCACAAGATCTAACCGCTCTGATACCAACTTGATACAAGTCGTCGTGCGAGCACATTTGATCACGGAATTATCAAAAGTGGGGTTTAAGAAGAAAATAACAAAACACAAGAACAATTCAATTTGGCGAAGGAAAATACATTATCTAGATTATAAAGAAATAAATATTACAAAATCTCTCTTTCACAATCTCTATAGAATAAAAAACAACTTCCCTATCCTCTTTAAACTCTGATCTCCTGATTAGAATCTCTCCTCCCCCTTTAGAAACCCTAAACAATCCTTATTTATAGGTTAAACAACGTTGGTGACAAATGGTAATTACCCAAGTCAAACCTAACTAGAATTCGTCTCAAAACAGAATCCAAATCGACCTAGGAAAATTCAGTCGGTCGACCGACATGCATGATTCGGTCGACCGACCAGAAAGCCGTTTTCTCGACCTTGAAGGTGCATGCTTTCGGTCAACTGGGGATAATCTTCAATCGACCGACATTGCTTCATCGGAGCTGTTTCGCCAACTTCCTGATTTTCGTTGTTTTCCTACTTTTGACCATTTTCGCCGCTACCGACAACTCCGCCCATGATTTTATTCTTAAGCTACCATGAGAATCATCTATCCTCAAGCTCCCATGAAGATCACTAAGTCCCCGAAGCAGAAAAAAAGATACACCCGTATCAATTGTAGCTTAGGAAAGCAAACTACAAAAAATTATTTTCTATTAGGTGTGTAACCCAGAAACAGAGGTTTACTTGGTATGTATTAAAGATCGAACACGGACTCCGTCACGGGGATCCTTGTGCCTCGGCAAGATTTTCCTCATTTTTACGGAGGGTGGGGACTTCGGACCCTCATCAATCCACAAGCCTGGGTGTAACGGGAAGAAATTTCATATACATAAAAACAATGCAGATTCATATACTTTCGTTGCACACAACATTCAAAAGACTTTTTAAGTTGCAAAAATCTAGGAGTTAGTTTATACCCAGGGGCAAGCAAAGCTTAACCCAAAACGTGGACAGGAGGAGCAAGCACAGTTTGAGCCCCAAATTCTCTTGACGTTTCACAATCCACAAGCTAAAAATTAATTGCTGCTGTCACAGAGAAGGATGCAGTAAGATGATAGAAGAGCATGAAATTTAACACAAACGACTTTCATTTAAAATGCTATAAATTAAAGTGGGGATTACAGAACATGGTCCAAAATAAGGAAAGCTGACGCTTAATGAATAAGGAGCCTTGCGAACAAGGAAAAAGGAAAAAAGCGGGGGGAAACAAAACAAAACAGAAGGCAATCCTCAATTCTCTACAAGACCAGAAGGCCAAATAAAATTTCTCCGTGAAATGACCCTTTTCATTTCCCAGTGAAAATGTGGCAAAAACTGAAGCCAACACCGAAACTCCTTGAAACTTTTAACTTACATTATACTTTGCCAGAATTTGAACGGAGTTGATTAGCTATGGAGAGTACAGTCCTTGAATGAAATGTTTCTCGGTTATTCTTCATCATCTTCGTCATCATCGTTCTCATCGTCATCACTATCCTTCTGCCAACAAAAATTGATTACCGATTCATTGAAACTATCAGGAGGAATTTACAAGAAGAATAAAATCTAGAGCGTATCAAATCCACCACAAGCAAATATAAGCTCAAGCATAAAATAAAATTCAAAGCTGGTGTACAGAAAAAAAAAAGACTTGATATCAACACAGGACCTATTTCCGGACAATGTCGATCTCAGTCTTTGGAAATATTAGCTTCTCTAGTCAGGATTCAGGATCTGTCTACTTTTTTAAATACAAGACAGTATAATTTCAGATACAATTGGATATATCATGGAAGTGCGGTTAAACTCACTAGAATCAATGCCATATGTCAACTCGACATTAAAAAATACGCATGAACCGGTTGAACTCCTAAGCAGGTCAAGATAAGCAATGAAGTAACATACATACAATTTAGATAGTAAAATTTTAGTAGGTAATGACTACAAGGAAGTCACCAAAAAACAAAAAGATATTGTTCGTTATATTATTTATTAATGGTGTGAGAACAAATCGGTGAACGAGGCATCTTGATTTGGATAAAAAAGATTCCATTTATCTAAGTCAAATGCGAACTGGAATAAGCAAATGGTTCCAATTGAGCATATTTTACGTGTTTAACTGATAAAAAAAGATCATGCATAATCTGGAATATAGAGGAAGAGATTCCTACGGAAGAATTATAGGAAAGAGCCTATATAAACACTTTTACACTATATGAAGACGGGAATATAAGAAACATCTCTCAACCAGAGAAAACAAGGAAGCCGATAATAAGCAAACAATTACATACAGGGAATATAAGAAACATCTCTCAACCAGAGAAAACAAGGAAGCCGATAATAAGCAAACAATTACATACATTAAGATTCTCATCATTTACCTCATCAATGTCTCCATCGAACTCCTCATCAGCTTCCTACACCAGTGAATCACATATATAAGTTATATTTGTAGAAAAAGAGTGATTACTATAAATTGGTTACATTGCTAGATTGGACATAGGCCAAACCTTCTACGCTTTAAGAAACCTTTCCCTCAGCCAATTGCAAACATGTCAAAGAAAAAGAAAGAAAACTGAGGGCAAGAATACTCACATTATTGAAATACCTCAAAGGGCTGGGCCATAGATCTTCTTTTATTAGCTCTCCTACCTGTATTTTCACATTCAGATTCACTTGATGAACAAAAAATTGAGAAGTGAAAAAACTTAAGATCTGGCCATTCCTCCACATAACTGACTTAATTAATTGGGGGTAACTTCAGAAACCGATACATTCAAGAAAATAAGAGGAAATAAATCAAGTAACAGAGAATTGTGACAACAGATTGCAGATAACACTACCAAAGAAAATCAGGTTTTCTTCCATATCAGATTAGAAGCATAAACAATGTTTGATTTATGTGGAAAATGATATATTGGTTAATTTGTAATTTTGTAGAATGCAGCTGAACTGCATTAATTTCTCACATAAAAACAGGCATTAGCAGTAACCACCAAAATTCGAATACTTCTGTAACATTATAGTTGAAAATCAAACATAAAGAAGATAAACGCAACAGATTGTACGCACTATAGTAACTCATCCGAATCTAAAGTATACAATTATATTTCTCATCTACTACATCAGGTTTCACCAAGCAAATCAGAGGAAGTTGCCCACGTTGTAAAATGTAACTCTGAGTTTACCTCATCAAAAACTCCTTCTAAAAAGCTTTTATCATGCATCTCTCCGAACCAGCTGAAGAAACTGCATCAAAAAGAAACATAAAAATGAAAACATAGATGCATGTAAAACAACCAAGCATCTTGAATTTAATAGTCTAGTTTAAGCACAAAACCAAATGAATCATGTATCACTAGCAAGAAATGGCTATAAAGAATACATATGCTACAATACAAGAGAAACGGAATAATTGAAGGGTAGATGATATAACTAATTTGATTCCAGTTTCCAATATAACTCCGCAAAATTTATTGAGATTTTTGACAAGCACTTGGTTAATATAAAATTGTTTTTGTCATAAGTTACATTTTGCACTTGTCAGCAGTGCATGAAAACTTAGCAAAGAAACTCAACTGAAAGCCATGAATAACAGAAATTTTCAAGTATGCATAATCAATCGCCATTTGGTTAAAATGGACAAAAATTGTGAGTTATAGCACATGAAAAGTAGACATTTTAAAATATGCATAATTA